TACACACACGCGCACACAAACCTACACACACACACACACACACACACACACCTACACACACGCGCACACAAACCTACACACACACACACACACACACACACACCTACACACACGCGCACACAAACCTACACACACACACACACACACTCCAACATATGTGTGCACTCATACAGACACACACACTCCAACATACGTGTGCACGCACACACACACACACACTCCAACATATGTGTGCACTCATACAGACACACACACTCCAACATACGTGTGCACGCACACACACACACACACTCCAACATATGTGTGCACTCATACAGACACACACACTCCAACATACGTGTGCACGCACACACACCTACACACACTCCAACATACGTGTGCACACACGTACGCACGTACAGTTGCTCACTAGCGAAGTGTTGTGTGCTTCTCCACTACTAGCATGCCTGTGTGAGTGTGTCTGCATCGAAGAACGCCTTTTATGGACGAAAACTTAACCACACTTCACCTGGATGGCTAAAACTGGATACACTAACGGTATAGCGTGCGCATCTGCACTAAGCCAGAAGATGTGATATAAATATATATATATATATATATTTATATATATATATTTAGTAGGCAGTTAGTTGTTACATTCCTGGCAATACTAGGCACTTGTGATTGCAGATTGGGGGGGAAAATGTGTGAAATTTTGGGTCGAGATGATTAAAAATTGCACAACGCTCACTATTAACCTAAACCTAGTTATACGCGCGTGCGCTGTATATCTATAGATGCACGCTGAAATTTATCCTGTTACCTAGTTCGCTCCTAGTTACACGTAGCGAGACAATTATTATAGAATGTGTAATCTGTTCACATGAGTCATGTGGCTCGGTAAAGCTAACGCGACATGGTCGCCATGTTTGATCGGCCGTTGTTAGTTGGTTGCTTTTCTTCAAAGCTTCGTCAGTTGAACGTGTGAAACACTGCTGCCGTTTTGCGGCGCACCACCGAATCTCCATTTTAACATTAAGTTAATGAGTAATATTAGTAATAGTTAATAATAGTTAATACCTAATTAAGTTAATTAAGTTAAAGGGGAAAGGTTAAGATTGCGATTCTCTCGTACGTTGTCATGGAGCGTTTTATCTCTCAGTGTAGTTTGTTCTAGTCACTTCTTCACGTCGTTCGCATCGTTCGCTCTTCGCATTGTCCGTGTCGTTCATTGTTTGTTCACGTCGTTTGTTGTTCGCGTCGTTTATTTTTCGCGTCGTTTGTTGTTCGCATCGTTCGCTCTTTGCATTGTCCGTGTCGTTCATTGTTTATTTTTCGCGTCGTCCGTTGTTCGCGTCGTTTGTTGTTCGCGTCGTTTGTTGTTCGCGTCGTTTGTTGTTCGCGTCGTTTGTTGTTCGCGTCGTCCGTTGTTCGCGTCGTTCGTTCTTCGCGTCGCGACGATCACGGTTTGCTCATAGACGTGTTGCACTCCCATGTTATATCCGTCCCGGTCCCCTCCCTCCTCCCCTGGTCCC